GTGAACACGTACGGGGACTGTGAGTGTAAGTGTGTAGAAAATGGGACCAGGGTTTGTCTAAAAATAGAATAGACAGTAATGTTTGGTCTCAGAGTCTGATTCTTCATTTTTGGGTCAACAAAAGCTTCGTTTTCTGTATTTTTTGCCTGATCAATCCAATCCTCTTTCTGCTTTCATGCGTGTCAGTGTCACACTCTCACTTCTCAGCAATCACCAATTCCTCCCACATTTTTATATTTTATTCCATTGCTTCACATCTACTGTACATTCCATTTCCATTCATTTTGGAGCTTCTGAACTTAATTATTTACAGCTATTTTATTCCCAACTATATTAAATATTATTATTGTAGTCTCTTTTTTTTTTTATTTCATATTAATATGATACAAATTTTATATTTTAAATTTTTTAGCTTTATTTAATTTAATAACTAATTTTATTAAATTATTATTATTATTATTATTCCTTACCTATCTCTATTGTATTTTTTTTTTATAGAAATTGCTTTAATTAAATCTCAAGTATAATAGTTTACTCTTATGTTAACGAGAGGTATAATTTAAGTAAGATTTATAGAACTTCAACAATACTTATTTTATAAAGTAATTTTGTAGAGTTATAGTAATTTATATTTTATAAGTCAATTTTATAATATTTAATATTAAATTTAGAGTTCAAATTATGAAAGTCGCTTTAGCTATAAATTATATCCTCTAGCAATTATCACTTGTTACGCATTTTTTTATATATAAATATAATGGATTTGTGAAATATTGACTGTTCTTAACTTTAAATGATTGTCATTAAATTACAAGCACATCTTAAATCAAAAATCACTAAATTAAGCTAATAGTTGATTTTAGTGTCATAAATTCTAATAGAATTCTTAAAATTTAGTTAGTATTATTACAAATCATATTTAAGATTTGAATATTTGTTAATTCCCATAAATATGTCACATTTTTCCTTTTAGTGTGTATATAATATATTCCAATTTTTGTCATTGTAATATTTATTTAGTTCATTTATTATATAGTGACACTCTTATTTATGTGACATATTGTATTGTTGTGTTGAAAAATATGATGATATAACATTATATTGATAAGACATCTTATAATAATTTTATCATGACATTATCTTTTATTAATGTGACATATGAGACATTAGCAAATTATCATTTTTGTACTTGTGTTTAAAAATGAAACCTTTAAATTCTGTAATGGTTTTTGAAGAAAAAATGTTATAAAAAGAAACATGAAAAAACACTAATTTATATAGATACAACTAGTATTTAAATATATAATTTTATGATAAAGACATTTTAATATTTATAGTAGAATTATATGTATTTTTCATACTTTATATATATATATAACATGGTCTTGACTAATTATGATTTTTCTTTACATGATGTTGACGAAAAATGTTACATTGACAAGATAATGTTAATGGAGAAGTGTAGATGAGTACGTGAGGTAGCATAATGATGTCACGTATAAATTTTTTTTTATAAAATATTAAAAATGAGATTTAAAACTCCTGACTCATAATTCTGATAGCAGTATTTAATAAGTGAAGTTATATATATATATATATATATTTTTCTTCTTCTTATTTTACCAAAGGAAACTTGCACCATTTCAGAATAATTACGAAGGATGATTTAAAATAACTCTCCTAACAAAA